TTGGAAAAATAAATGTATAGATTATGCGTTAAGTTGCTGAATTTCCGTCCACCTGGTTTTGCATTCATGTAAAAGCACCCGAGAGCTTCAAAGACGTTCATGATGCGTTATTCTGCCAATAATAGATAATATTGATGTCGTTATTAGGAACAAAAGCGTCAAATCACTCTGTGGATGTTTACCTTTTATGAAATTCCTTTGGATGCATATGCTGTAGGCGATGTACTGGTGGGAAGGGTAGGGAGCGAGGGGTGGTCGGAATAAATCACGTCAGCCTTTGGAGCTTTCTCCGATTTGTCTGTTTCTACTAACCATAAAAGTGTCCATGTCCAGAGCCAAAAAAGTTTACAACTTTTGGTCTCTTCCGCATTTCTGAAATAAAAAGAAGGAATGTAGCTCCTTGTTGTTCTAGATGGTAACAATGGAGGCTAAAAGCATTTCGTATGCTCCATTTTATTTTCAGACATAGCTAAGTGCCGGTTATGCCTTCCTTATTCTGCTAATAAGCAATTGGCTTGAACAAGAAAGTTTGTTTTTTAGAAACGTTAATCATCTTGTTTTTTTGGCACAGCTCCATGCATTGGGGGAATCCCTACGTTGTGACAACTCCCGACCACGTTGGTAACTTGGGTTTGTCTGACCTCAATTGCGGCAATAACCAACAATAAATCACGTTTTAGAGCAGAAGGTTTCTAGATCATACATTCTGTGGAGACGTAGTTTCTCCTGATTCTAAAATTCTTTAAACAGCGAAATGATGAAGTGAAGTTCAGATTATGAATATCACTAGCTGAGTTTATGCATATTTTACATAATAGTGTTTGACCAATCCAAACCACTGACAGGCGCTTCCAATGACCTATGTTTTTGAAATGCATTCATAGCCATGGTAGATAACGGAAGCAATAAGAGATGGATTGTGACTTTGTTTTTGAATTTAAATTTATCTGTTCAAGCGTACATTATAATATGCCCTGACTTAATGAGACGAGGGCAGCAAAAATGACTTCCGTCAATGCCAATTGCTTGCAGAAGGTGGATTTATTTTTTAAGATGTCAACATCAAAATAATGAATTGAATTGCACAAGGATGGCTGAATGAATGGAGGTTAGTTCCTCTTGCTTCGCATTGAGAGCAAAGGAATAATTGATAACAAGTCTGCATAATTTAAATAACAAATCTGTGATAGAAACAGGAAGTACTCTTAGGGAATGTAAAACTCAATCAATGGGCGTTGGCTAACAATAATTTGAACACAACGGCTGCCTGTTTGGCCTGTTTTGGGCAAAAAGATGCAGTCATCAATTGTTTTAGGTCCTTGTAGTGGAACTAACGAACCAGCCTGGTGATGAGAGCACTTAGAGAAAAAGCATAAGTGGGGCAAACAGTATGGGTGTTCGCTGACCCTATTCTTTGTAAAAGTAACTTTAATGCTGCAAACCTGCCTGTCTAAGGATAAATTATTTGCGAAATGAAGAATATTGCCATATTTAAATCAAAAACAACATTGATGTTAATGTCAGGCGATGGAATCTACTCGCATTTGGTCCATAGCCATATTACTTAAAGGGAGTTTTAGTTTTAATTTTGATTGTCAGTTTCTCAAAGATGGAGTCTCAATCATGTATTCCCTCTAAGTGACGATTTCTGTCAATTATTCAGTGATCACTTTCAATAAAATTCTCCCTTTTCCCTATGGTTTTACTTTAAAGTTGTTAGCAAACACTGCAATAACTTGCAGTAGGTTGTGCTGGTAAAACAATTACATTTGCACTCGCAGTGCTGTTGACTTTTAGTGGTGCATATCGCATTTCTAAATGCGAGTGAAAAAAACCCCCATAGGATTGATTAGAATGATAGAAATGGGGTTCTGTTTGAAAGCGATTATGACAATGACTTCTTTTGATGAAAATTACTTGGGAAGTGTGAGCTTGTTTACTTGAAAACCATATAATAAACAAATGATTGTCATTTGTAACTCTATTGTAGACACGGTGGAAACCGTTACGGTTGTGGCCACTTGGCCTACCAAAAGCTGATCATGGCGTGATGCCCGACGGTGAATCGCGAGATTCCATCCCTTCATGTAGACCAGACCACTTTGCTGGGTTGGTGTATCTGGTCCAACTTTTTCTACTGATAGCCATCCGGTTAATTAATTTAAGGCATTACCCTCGTGTACCAATTCAACTACGCATTTGACGATATGCCTAGAGGTGACGAGACCAAAATATTACCAGCTATTGGCGTTGGTATCACAAGTAATAAGTGAGACAGTTGTTCGTGCTGATAATTATTCATATTTACCTACTTTTTTTGACAGCAGACGTATAGTGAAGGTAAGAAATCAGTAGTGATGTGACGTCGTGGAGGATTCGAGGCATAAGTTGGGTCTGAAGTTGGTTCAGTGTATTTAATTTGCACAAATTTTCGAGTGACTAAAATGTTCTGCTGGTCTTCGCTATGCTTAACTGTAATGAATTTTTTGTAACTTATGAAGACTTGTAAAGTGCACGTGGCTATTCACATAAATTATAAGGCACAGACGTGTGTCTGTCAATTTTTGGCATGCCTTTCTTGCTTCATGTAATTTTTAATCATTTTGGAGCATTTTCGATCACAAAGGTCTGTCAGATGTGGTAGATGTGATTAGAGCTTTTCTGCTTGACGATTCGACTGCACGACTTTAGAAACTGTTTCTAGAGGTATGCAATGACGGATATAGTTAAAGAATTTTATTTTATTGATGAACTACCGAGAGTGAGAAAGGGCTCAATTGTCGTCGACGTCTACCATGAGTGATGAAAAGTGGGTTTTTTCTTCTGCAAATTAAGAAGGGAAAATAAAGCACGTTGCTACTTACACCGATGTTACTCACAAATAAATGGATGACATTATGCGCTTGGAAGAGAGTTAATTGGTATTTTTTTAGTACTTCATTCAAGTGTGTTCTAGATTGTATACTGACTGTCTAGTAATGAGAAATGTCTTCTGTATTGCAACGATCGTAAGCAAATAAATGTCATTATTTATCTCCTAACAATCTGCTGTCCCACTACACACGCCACACCTCTATGGTACACAACGCTTCACCTCCATAAGATTATATATGCGTGCAAGTGTATGTTATGAATTACTCACCGGTTAAGGACCAAACAGCAATCATGGCCCAGACCTATCCATCCGAATTAGCTGGATACTGCTCAAGCGTGTCCAAGACAAACACCACTTTGAAAGAATCGTGAATAGCTAGTTTGTAGAAAGAAAAGTTTGTTGCTGAACGTTGCGATCCCGCACCACACTTTAAGTTAAGCGGAGGGGAAATTAACACTGTCTAATCCACCTTGTTTTTTCCAATTAAAGACTATCACCTTATCTTGGCAATAGATGGCATAATCATGAGCAAATAGGAATGGGATTCGAGCAACGTAGATGCTTAAGTGAATAGGGCAAGATTCAGCTAAATTTCTCCAGAGACAAAACGTGTTTCAAAAGTGGAAAGGATTTTAGATTGCTAATGATCACTGCTTCGGTGAGTGTATCATTTGATGGGATTTTCAGTAGTAATAAAAATTGCGCCGCATCATTTGCTTCATGGTAATAAGCTCAATCTGACTCCTAATCAGAAATAGATGCAAATTTTGAATTCCAATAGCACCGCCTGTTTACAGCGAAAATAGTCGGAATGCTAAATTTGTTTAACACATCACAACGAGACAGTTTCTAGAAACATTGCGCTCAAATGAGTTGGTGGGTCCCAGTTTCCATAATGTGCCTGATTATCGCCCTACTGTAATCACAGCAGGGAATGGTTATTCACTTATGCATTTATTTAGAGGCTATTACAAGAATTGTCTACGATTCCTTATCGGATTCGCTTGTATGATTCCGAGTTTCTTACATTTAAGTCCGGTCTGCGGTAAGGTGGATAAAAGGCCATTGACAGTGGCAAAAGTGTATTACATGTACTTTATCATGTTTTCATTCTTCGCCGCTATCATTATGTGCCTTTTCCCGCTGCTCCCTCTACCACATTCCGACGAGCAGGTTCACAGACTGACCTTTTGACGCGTAACGCCGGTTTCGCTACCACTGCTGCTTCCTTCATTCCTGTCGTCTACACTCACACCAGCATTGCGAAGCGTGAGATGCGACTGGGCTAGGGGATTAATTTTAACCTGCTAGAGGATGAAGAGCATGGTAAGGTGAGGGTCAAGGAGATGGCCGACCAATTAATGGAGGATCAAGAAGGAGTGCAAAAATGAATTGCCCCTGAGGATGTCTATTGTTGGTAAATTAGGTGAGTATTAGGGACTCTTTTTGCCAACGGACGTCTGATTATTGTGCATTGAATTTCTTTATCAACCACAGTGAGCATACGACTTAGAAGTAAGACCATTAAAGGAGCTGTGCGATCAAAATCACTTAAACTTCAAACCATTTCGATAATTTAAGTGTGGTTTTACTCTACTTTTCCTATCTCTTTATCAAGATTGGTTAGCAGGTTCAAACAAAGATTATAAAAGCATAATATGCTTAGGCTTCTTTTTGTAGTAAAAGTTTCGATAAAAAGAATTTCTCAAATCTTCACATTCAGGCTTTACAGCATTTTCTTGAATGATCCAATCTTTTTCGAAGCAATAATTAGGAATAATCACGTTTGTGACAATTCAATTTGAATTACAAAATTTAAGCAGGTATCGTACACAAAGTGGTGTTTTTTCAGTCTTAAATCGACGATCAAAATGAAACCTCTCCCT